AGCCAAGCATAGGCGAATTATTTAGGAAAATTTATTGTTGAGTGTTAATTTGGCGTAGTGGAGGTAAGTATCTTGTCTAACTTTGTGGGAGGGGGGAGGGAACTACCCCGTAGGGATTGGTTTGATTGCACTATTTGAATTACGTGAAAGATATGTATACGAGGTGACGAGTGTGTACACGAACTTATATGTGAAAATGATCGGTTTAGACTTTTAGGTTTCTTATGTACATTAAATTGAAGTTGTCCTATCATGTTGTATCCCCCATTGTTGAATTTATCCTTACATGCTTTATTTGAATATGTTAGTTCATGTTCTATATCTTATTGCCAATTATATACTTATATGCTTTAATTGAAGTTGTTGCCTCTTTATTTGTAATGTTATCTCTTTCATAGTTGAATTATCCTTATTTGAAGTCATTAATACTTGTTACCTATCTCATTGTTGATTTATTCTTATTTGAAGTCATTATTACTTGTTGTGTCTTTCATTGTTAAGCATATCCTTCCGTTTCATTGTGTTGTTATAATTGTTGTGTTGATTTACTTGTCATACTCCCGTGTTATTGTTGTTGTTGTTGTACTCAATATTGTTGGGTCGTGGGCTATGTGTGGTTGTGGCATATGAGCACATGTTGTGCGAGTTATTATATTGTTGTTTTGGCATATGTGGGATTGTTGAGAGGACGTGTATTTTCATATGAGTTGTCCGTGCTATTATTATTATTGATATTTGCACACGCAGCGTGGCAAGACTGGCTGTATATATGTTGGATTTGCGCATGTGGTGAGACAATGTGGGATGATTATTATGCGCGTGTGGCGAGACAAGAGGAGCATTTACTTTATTTTTGTGCATACACCGAGACAAGTGGACTATGTCGGAGATGATTTGCGATGGCCTGGGGCATTATTATTGATGATATTTGTGTAGTAGTGTGACCTTTTTGCGTGTGTCATGATATTACAGATTTTGTGGTGTTGTTTCTAATGTGCTATTTGGTGTCTCTGATTTTACCTGTTGACTTGAACTGTGATAGTACATTTGCACAAGCATACACCGTAACATGTCACCTATATCAGTCCAGGAGTATGAATCTTGATGTTTATTGATCATGTATATATGTTCTTGTATACATACCTTCTGTGCGTGGATTGGACTGTGGCACGTGAGTTGTTTTTGCGGATATGAGACATTATTACTATTGTCATGTGAGTTGTCCGTGCGATATGAGATATTGTTATCATTAGCACATGAGTTGTCCGTGCAAATCTGAGGTAATGATAGCATTAGCACGTGAGTTATCCGTGCGGTTATGATTGATAATGTGGGCACGAGATGCCATGCGATTATAATTCGTGACTTGGGGCCCGTGACTCGTGATTTTTAGGTGTAGTACCTGGGGATGATTCTTGTGTAGACCTTGTGAAAGAACGATTGATTATTTGTTTGTCATTTACTTTTCCTTAGTTGGGTCCGGGTACCTAACTGCATTCTGATTACTTTGCGGGGTTATCACCTATTTATTCCTTTTTGCTATGTGTTGCTTCTACTTTCCATTTGCTAGTGTTATATTGTTATTTTTTCTATGTTTAGCTTTATATTGATATTCGTTCCTCTGTTAATTTATATTAATACTTGCACAGGTTATTATGTCTCGTAGGTGTCTCGACTGTATCTCGTCACGACACCACCGATGTTAGTCTTGATACTTGTTGGGTACCACTTTGGTGTACTCATGCTAAGCTTCTACACATTTTTGTGCAGATCCAGCTGCCTCTGAGCGTGCCGGTCATTAGCTAGTTATTGGAGATTTACTATGGAGACTTAAATGTATATTTGTCACTACGCTCACAGGTCTCGAAGTCACCTTTCTGGAGCTTTACTTTGTTACTGTTTACTTCTACTTCAAACAATGATGTATTTCATATTCTTAGTTACTCTTAGAAAGGCTTATGACATGTACCACTGGTTTTGGGATGTTGTATATTTCTTGATGGTTGTTGGTTATGTACGGGAACTACTGGTGTTTCATGGTTAATTGGATTAAATCTGTTAATAACTCATTATGTGTTAGGCTTACTTAGTCCTAGGGATTAGGTGTCATCACGATTCCTAAGGAGAGATTTTGGATCGTGACAAAAATAAAAGAAGAAGTAACAGACAAGGGAAAATAATAGGATTAGTTACCTTGTATAACAAAGGTTGATACTTTATTTATTTTAAATAAATATCATTTAAAAAAATTATATTCCATAGCTACATTTTGATTTTTTATAGCCAAATATCTATTTATGATCACCTCCTACCCTTAAGCCATAAAATAAGCTTTATATTATTTTTCTCTCTCATATCCCCTCAAATTTCTCCTATCCCTACCCATATCTCTCTCTATTTGCAACGACTTTCTATTACACGCCCTAAAAGGCAGATGCAGAAAATGTATTCATCTGCATATCTCCATAGGATGGTTTTTTTTGGGATTGCACTGTATATTAGGCCATGCCTGCATTACTGGTTCTTGAGAGCAGACTGAAGGAATGGAAAAGCATTGATGAAGTCAACACCATATTCTTTATGGTCAAGATGTGAGATCGGTTTTCTGCTGGGACTTAGTGTGATATGTAAACAATTGGGTGCTATTAAAGTCCTTTGTATTTTTATCTCATGCCCTATAACTCATACATTCTGGCAGCACCTAGGTATTGATAATCTAAATATCACCAACAACTCTAACTGGCTAATTCAAATAAAAGATCTCACTCCTAGTAGAAACTTAGCTTGCAATCATATGAAATGGAATGACTTCTTGGCTTTTGTACTATGGGGAATTTGGTTAATCAGGAACAGCAATAACATCAACAACACCACTCACAAACCATCTCTGCAAAAGAACCTTAATCATTACAGTGAATTCCACTTCATGACCAATGCAAACCAAGTTACAAACGATACTATTCCTATTAAGATAAATTGGATTGCACCCCAGAAAAGCTGGTTAAAACTAAACATCGATGGGGCATACACAACCAACCATAGTGGTATAGGAGGGGTCTTCAGAGATAGTACTGGCAAATGGATTCTAGGCTTCAACAAATATTGCAAAGGATTGTTTCCATTACACCTTGAACTGCAGGCACTCCATGAAGGACTCCTACTGGCAGTAAAGTTCGATCTATTTCCTCTAGAAATAGATACGGACTCAATAGAGGTAATTCATGCAATCAACAATGGTCGTGCAACCCTAACAAATCTTATTGAATCTTGCAGATTGTTAATGCACCAGAAGAAGGGCCTCCTGCTCAGGCATAGTTTCAGACAAGGGAATGCCGTAGCAGATGCTCTAGCCAAGGATGCAAAAACCAAAGAAAAGAAATGCTACAAGCCAGGAGAAACTAAGCTTTTTGCTGAACCACCTATTTTTGTGAAAGATCTTTGTGATAAAGACTTGTGTATGGACAAGTATTTTGTTAAGCAACTATCGACTAGTACTTGCTAAAATCTCTAGGAAATCAAAATATGACTAGTAATGTCACTCCAGTAGAAACAGGGACTCGGGTGCCCCATGCAGTCAATATGGGTTGTAATATGGATCCTATTACTTAAGTATGCAATATAATATGCTTTTATTACTCAAACAAAAGTCCTTTGTATTTTAATGGTTGAAAATTTCGTAGCTAATATTATTTTTTTATTGAACAAAGACGACAGAGTTGGGGGCTAGCAACTTGAATTTTCTGTTAATATATTCAATATATCTCGTTGTATTTCATTGTATTCATTGCCTTTTTTATCATTGTATTTCAATGTATCTCGTTGTATTCTATTTATTTCATTGTATTCGTTGTTTTTTTCTTTATTATATCAATATATCCCGTTGTATTCTATGTGTTTCATTGTATTTACTGTATCACTATATTCCATGAATGTATTCATATGTTTTTTCTAATTAATACAATTTATGTATTCAGATGTATTATATAATTTTTCTATCTGAAGATTGCTATGTTTTTTGGGGTGTTTTTCGGTTGAGAATCTTTTTTATAACTGGAAATACAAAATTTGTGTGTTATAATTGAGTTTGTTGAGTTATATTAGGAGTCTATTATGTTAATTGATTCACTTTCCGTTTAAAAATAGTGTAATCCCCTATTTCACGCCATGAATACAGTCGAATACAATAATCTGTCCAGTTGTAATCCCTCCATGAATACAGTCGAATACACTCGAATACAAAAATCTGTCTAGCTGTAATCCCTTGATTCACGCCAAGAAATGCTACTGTATTCATGAATACAGTAGCTTAAATACATCGAATACACTCTAAAAAATCTAAAAATATAGTTATAGTAAGTAATATAGTAAATGACAGCTACAACTAGCTAATAACCACTCAAACATAGTGGTTTCTGAAAGTTCAAAATAATACTACTACTTAATTAGGAGTTAAAAAAAAAAAGGAAAGAGCCAAGGAGGGGGAGGAAACAGAAGTAGAAAATTAATAGCAGAATATTACGAAAATATACAAATTTTTACTCTAACAGGACACAATAATTTATCACAATTATCACATGTTGGGTTTGTTATTTCTCGTTTTTGTCGTATCGATGATAACAAAATCAATAGATCAATCAAGCAATGTCAACTTTAGACAGACCAGAAATCCATGTAGAGCGCAGATGGGTTAATACTTATGTTTACACCGACCCAATAATATGGTAGTATATATTTTTAGATATATTCTTATTACTAAATTAAAGTAGTAATTTAATGTATATTCTCACATTAATTTATGAATTTAAAATAATAAATTTAATATAAGCATCAGATGTACCATGGTTTTTTAATTCAATAATTGGTCACTCGTTCTATGTGAGAAGGTGTGAACCGTGAATATAAAATACGTCTCTACTGCTTGTTGTGAAGTGTGAATAATGAGTGCAAAGGACGTGTCTCATATTATAAAAATTGGGATACACGTTTTCTTCTCTTCTTCCCCAGAAAAGTGGAAATATATAAGCTGTTACCACAAGCATTTTTATTAGTACCCAGTGACACACTACATCTCTCAAAATAGCAATATATACTCATAGAGCAGGCAGGAAATTAAGGAGAAATGGGAAACTGCTGTCTAAAGCCTGCAGATAATCTTTCTACCACTATTAAGCTTTCTAACCCTCCTGCAGGTATATATGTACCATTATTTTGGTTTTGCAATTCAGCAGATTCTATCAAAACAATTCATATTTCTGCTGCCTAGTTGTTAGAAAACATATAAACTTTTAGTGATATGATAGTGTAAAAACAATTCACATCGTCGATGTATATAACTTTTGTGTGTATATTTTCAGCCCTTGATTCAAATTTTATTATGCCAGCATTCAAGAAACCCAGTACTTGTCTCATCAATAACGCCAAGGTGGTTCATGCCGAGCGAACCACGAACGGTGGCGGTGGCGGTGGCGGTGGCGGTGGTGCTGGAAAAGAGGAAGTGGCAATAAGTGGGAAAATAATAACACCCAATTTGAAAATGTACAGTTTTGTGGAATTGAAAAGCGCAACGAGAAATTTTAGACCAGATACAATATTGGGGGAAGGAGGATTTGGTAGAGTTTTCAAAGGTTGGGTTGATGACAAGACATTAGCTCCTTCCAAAGTGGGCATCGGAATTGCAGTTGCTGTTAAAAAATCTAATGCAGATAGCCTGCAAGGTCTCAAAGAATGGCAGGTAAAAATTTAAGTTATATATACCGACGGTAAAAACATGATTATATATATCGACAGTGCAAATGTTATAGTAATTGAACGCGTTTCTATGATTATGTTTGCAGGCAGAGGTAAAATTTCTGGGAAAATTTAGTCACCCAAATCTAGTAAAATTAATCGGATATTGCTGGGAAGAGAAACAATTCCTGCTTGTATATGAATACATGCAAAAAGGAAGTTTAGAAAATCACCTTTTCAGAAGTAAGAACCTCTATATATTTTTTCCTTCACATAATATTTATTGAATATTGATAATTAAAAGAATAAATATATAATCTAAAATATTGACACAAATATTATTGTTGGAATACTAGAAGAGGGTGCAGAAACACTTTCATGGGACACCAGACTTAAGATAGTAATAGGAGCAGCTCGAGGTCTAGCTTTTTTGCACACAACAGAGAAGCAAGTCATTTACCGTGATTTTAAAGCTGCCAATATTTTATTGGATGGGGTAATTTCTTTTCTCTGATTTGTTTAAAAGTTCAATGGTAACTTAGTATTAATTTACGAATTATACTGTGTAATTAACAAAGAGATTAATTGTTCCATGCATATTTACTTGGGGCAGGATTATAATGCCAAGCTTTCTGATTTTGGATTGGCTAAGTTGGGTCCTGCAAATGGCAACTCACATGTAACTACAGGAGTTGTTGGTACTTATGGCTATGCAGCTCCGGAGTACATGGCCTCTGGTAATTTTCACCCTCCTACTTCTTCTACCCCTTTGTTGTCAAATTGCCTAGTATTTACAACAATAATACTTAAGTGCATGATTCGAAGTTTCGAACCGCCCCTTCTTCATAAAAGAAAAAGAATTAGAAAATGGGGCTAAATCAACAAGCTCTGAGAAGATTGATTTTATGACTCATTACAAGTGTTGTTTAGTTAATAACCTTTTCCACAACAAATAGGCGTAACTTAATACTAGAGATCAATAAATAAACAGGAAATCTTGTAGGATCATTTACTTTAAAATGTAATTGGTGTCGGGCGAAGTGTAGCAATAGTCACTTTTAAGCCTCCTAATTAAAGTATATTCATAATTTACAACATATTTAAAGATTAGCTAATTCACTTCAGGACTAATAGCCCGTCTGGCTAAGCTACAAAAATCAGTTTATTTTGAGAAGTGCTTTTTTCAAAAGTACTTTTGGTGAGAAGCAGTTTGTGTTTGGCTAATTAGTTTGAAAAGTACTTCTGAGCAGCAATTTGTGTTTGACCAAGCTTTAAAAAACTGTTTCTAAGTATATTTTTCTCAAAAGTGCTTCTCAAAAAAGTGCTTTTGGAGAGAGCTACTTTTTTCTGCTTCTCCTCAAAAGCACTTTTTTCCTTCCAAAAGCTTGGACAAACACCTCAATTTTTTGGCCAAACAAAAGCACTTTTGGCCAAAAAGAAGCTTGGCCAAACAGGCTCTAAGTATCCTGAATTTGGAAATTCTGGACTTAGTGTCTTAAATTTTTGAGCCGCTAATTTAAAATTCAGGACTAAGTGTCCTGATTTTTTGAACTACTAATTTAAAGTTCAGGACATAAGATTCGAACTTTACGACACGATGTCCTGAAATTTGAATATTGAGGTTTAAACTCTAGGACGCCGTGTCTTGGAGTTTGAGCAAAATTGACTAATTTTTAAATACATTGTAAACTGTAAATATATTTTAAACAATAGGCTAAAAAGTGGTGTCATTTCTACCAAGATGTTTCCTTCTCTTTTCTCTTTCTCTTTTTCCTGGATGCTACATGACCAAGACCAATTTTAGCCCCAAATAGAAAATAATAATAGAACGTATTAATACAACCTAAGCTCAACATATCTGCGATAAATATTCAAACAGTCGTTAACCTTGTGCTACTTTATTTGGAACAGGACATTTATACGTGAAGAGTGATGTGTATGGTTTTGGTGTTGTATTGCTGGAGATCTTAACGGGCCTCCGGGTACTGGACCTGAACCGGCCCAATGGAGAACAAAATCTAGTGGACTGGGCCAAACCGTTATTACCAGACAAGAAGAAGCTAAGGAAATTAATGGACCCAAGGCTAGAGGGAGAGTACCCTACAAAGGCTGCATTTGAAATAGCACAACTAGTACTTCAATGTCTTATGCCTGATCCTAAAACTAGACCTTCCATTGAACAAGTTTTGGAGTCTTTGGAAAAAATTAACACCATCAAGAAGGAACCTAGAGAATGCAATGCCACCCACAACGTTCGCCTCTCCACGTTAAGAAAACTGTAATTGGTAGCAACACGCACCATTCACCCATCAATCGAAGCTATTGAAGACNGAACCTAGAGAATGCAATGCCACCCATTCCCAACAACATCGGCGCCACCCACAGCGTTCGCCTCTCCACGTTAAGAAAACTGGTAGCGGTACTGTAATTGGTAGCAACGCGCACCATTCACCTATCAATCGAAGCTATTGAAGCTCAAATTAGAGCATTTAACTTTTCAAAAGAAACAGATTCAGAATGTAAGTCAAAAGATACAGAGTTGGCTGAAGCACTACTCCTTTGTAACAAACATATAAATATATATTTCTAAAGAACATCGTTATAGTAGGTTAGCATTATCTTCATTTTTCTCCTCATGATTTGCCCTTTAAGTTACTCTTGCCTTTTATTACTTGAGGGTCATGTTTGCCTTTTTATTACATGAGAGAAAACAAATAAAACAAGTTTTCCTTTGGGAAAAAATTATTGTCAAGCACTCATTGCTCAACCTCACTTCTCTATGTAAGGCAATCTTAATTAAGGAAGATCTAATGGATAGAAAAGTAATACTGAACGGAAGACAGAGTAGCAGCTCTTCTTATTAACATGTCAATAAAACTACAATACCAGTGGCATTATAGAATTGAGGGTATACTTCAAGCACCAAAATGAGCAAGTATGACATAATTTTGGCACAAAAGCTTAAAAAGTGTGAAACAAGGTAAAATAGAAAGAAGATGACCACAGTACTTGAACATACATCTGTACCTTATTCAAGTGCAACATATATTGTGTCATAGTAAACACAAGATATCAAAGTTTGGTACAAACAGAACATAAAACGAAACAGTACACTTTATAGCAAAAACACACAAACGTAATGCTTTTCTTGGTTTAGTACTCCTTCAAACTGCAACTTGAGACGTTTTCCCAGTAGTGTTTTCATCTTAGCTTCATCACATTGTAGGCTTTAAAGTGAGACGAGAAGCGACCTTCTGACCACAAGACTTGTCAGCCTGCAATGCATCCGCGCAAAAGATTAGTTTTTGTTTCCCGCTCTTAATGTAAGGATAAAGAATCATTCGAAAAGAAGAAAAACTCAAACCTGAGACAGGTATGATATCCATATACTGCGTATCTCATAAGTGACTCGTGGATCGGATAAATGCTCAACCCATTTGCTAACATATCTGTCTTGCCTGAAATAGTACAAGGATACTCAATAACCCGCAGGTTCTTGAGAGAAGGAAGAATCGGCGATATTAATGTTATAGAACAACCAAATTACCTGTCAGGTTCCCAGGATCTGTATCTTTCTCCTGCCTGCTTGAAGTTGTTCTCTTTCTCAATGACACACTAAAATACCAATAATATATACGTGAGTGAAAATTAAACTCATTTAAGAATACAACTCTGTACTGATTATGATGAACAATAAGTAAAGAGGGCCTCACCATTTCACGCCTTCCTGTCAAGACACGAGAAGGAATTGGGTACTGTTCAGCATGACGACAAGGATCGAACCTTGAGGGCAAATAATCCACCTGCAACATAAATTCAAAACATCAGAAGAGTACAAATATGAAGTTGCAATTAGCCTTGTACAATCAATGATTTTCAAAAACATTAGTATACCTCTTCATCGCGATGCATGAAGTTCATGGCACCATCGCGGTGATTATTGTGATGAGCACACTTGGGAGCATTAACAGGAAGCTGCATATAGTTTGGTCCAATACGGTGTCTCTGAGTATCAGCATACGCGAATATCCTAGTCTGGAGAAGCTTGTCCTCCGAATAGTAAAGACCAGGGACAATATGGCCAGGGTTAAACGCGAGCTGCTCGTTCTCAGCAAAGAAGTTATCGATATTCCTGTTAAGTACCAATCGTCCAACTGGCATCAATGGCAAGATATCCTCAGGCCAGGTCTTGGTTACATCAAGAGGATCAAAGTCGAATTTGTCTACATCCTCAGTGTCCATAATTTGGATAAAAAGTTTCCACTCGGGATAGTTTCCAGCAGCAATCGAATCGTAGAGATCCTTGGTGGCGTGGCTATGATTTGTACCTCCGACCCTAATAGCTTCTTCCTCCGACATGCACTTGACACCACAAGTTGGTTTCCAGTGAAACTTCACATAATGTGCTTTCCCAGCCTTGTTGATTAATTGATAGGCGTGAACACCATAACCTTCCATGTGTCTGTAATCTGTCGGGAGACAAACATCATCGAAAAACCAGGCAAAAGTATGCAAACTCTCCGGAAGGAAAGAGAAGAAATCAAGGATCCTCCAGTATTCCTGAATGTGTGACTTTGGATTTGGTTTCAGTGCACGAATCGTGTCAGGGAACGATTTTGCATCACGATTAAAGAAGACGGGGACGTTGTTTCCAACCAGATCAAAGTTACCCTGATTCATAAAAACAAGTAAGATATATACACAAGTAAATTAAGAAAATACAATTGAACAAATACATTCCAAGAAAGCAGTAAGTTCATGTGATGAGGCAAATTACCTCTCTGGTGTAAAATTTGACAGCAAAACCACGAATGTCCCTAAGGGACTCGGGGCTTCCACGCTCATGGACGACAGTAGAGAAACGGCAAATAACAGGTGTTTGAACCCCAGGCGCTCGGAGAAAATCAGCACAGGTAAGATGAGAAATATCATGAGTGACTTCAAAGAAACCTTTTGCACTGGCACCTCTAGCATGAACAACACGCTCAGGTATCCGCTCACGATCAAAAGTCGCGAGCTTCTCTATTAAGTGATAATCCTCAAGAAGAACAGGCCCTGCCAAAAATATATAAGAAATTTACAAATTCAGCCAACATGTTCAAGTTTAGCTGCAAAATATATAGATCTAAGAGCATTAGGGTATCTACTAGTATTTTCAAAATCTTACTAGAATCACTTTAGAACATCAAGATAACGGATCCTATTTTGTGTTGATCTCATAAAAACATAAATTTTTAAAACAGGATTTCTCTTGAATGGAAAATATGAAGTATTAACTTAAACTTTATTCAGGGCTGAAACATAAGATTATTTAAGAATATTAGAGTGTGAAAAGATATGATCTATTACTTTCCATCATGTATTATTGCCTAATTCTATCATTTTTCATCTATAAAACAACTAAGTTTTCCCACAATTCTCTTACATTTTCTATGTTGACCATTATTATGGAGTATCAAATTAAACAAACCATGTCTTAAGACAAAAATTTCCATGAGTTTAACCCGTAAAAAGCAACCATCGCATGTAAAAGACATGTTGATGTATTAAAAGTAGAGGTATTTCTAACAAGATATAGTTTTATCTTGTGAATATTATATTGATGAACACATGGAAACAGTAGTACTATAAAGCAACTCATATATCGCTTGTTCTAAAATCAGATCTATACAGTACTTTATTTGGATCATTAAAAAGTTGCATTTCACACTTTAAGTAGAAACCTTAATTAACAGGAATATATAGTTTAGAAAAGAAAAAAAATGATTAAAAAGATAAATGCCTCTAGGTCCAACAGTCAAGGAAGAAACGTTGTTGTAGACAGGACCACCAGCATTTGTTGTCAAGAAAGGGGAATCATATGCGCTTGATGGTCGAAACTGCATCATAATTAATTAATTTCCAATCAAATCCAACATAAACTATAATAAAAACAATATCCATAGAAATAAATTACTATCCCACTAGTTAGAATGATCGGCTATATATAAGTCCGATGTAAGCAATTATATAAGTTGACTATAGTTTATATTATGAAGCATTAATATAGCATATATATTTGGTTTCTGCTCACTGAAATATAATTTACTTGCTGTAAAGGAAGTGGAGAAATCAGCGCAGCTCAGACCCAATTCCATCGATCTGTTCCAAGTTATTTATCGACAAAGATTCAAAAGCCTAGACCCGTCATGGCCTTGTCTATGGTGTTTCTAGTGGCGCTTTCAAGATTTAGAGGCGGACTCAGAATTTTAATATGACGTGCAACCATTATTTTGCTCACTTAGTGTCCCTAAATGCTTTGTGTTTATAAGATTTCTGGCGAAGTTTACGTGACCTTTCAATACTACACATAGATCCGCTTCTGCCTTTGTACACAAGTATAATTTTGGACGCCGCCTTTTCTCAGCCCAAAGAAGGGTATTTTACGTTTTGTCTTCAACTGGAAAGATCGGCGGCGAAGTGAGCCGATCAAATGTCGGAGGCTTTCCGACAGCTACAGACAGTTTATTTAATTAGTTGCTTTTTTTTCTCTCTTTAGGGCTGATTTAGCCATGAGCACGTGAGGGCGTGAGAATACGTGACAATTTTACATGAAAAGTTAATTTATCAAAATGTGTCGGTGATGTTTGTCTTAGAAATTTCTTTTGAAGAAATTTGAGGATTTGTTTTTCTTTAAAAAATCCTATTTTCACATATAAGATACGCATAAATTTTTTACAAAATGAAAAATTAGAATATGTATATTTTTCGCAGTCTTTGTCCAAAATACTATTTTAAATGGCTTTTTCCAAAGTTGTTCGAATGAGTAATTAGAGGGTGTCTGGCGCGTGACTTCACTCAGCAGGCACTGATGTTATTATTTGCAAGTTAAAGTTTGGAAATCAGTAGATTTTTCCATATTGAACTTAATTATGTATTTGAAATATATGAGTATTTAATTATGCATTACAAAACTTCAACAAAGATAAGAGACACCTTAATCAGGTGTTTAAACTACAAAATGGAAAAGCTTTTAATTACCAAAGATTTATGTATCCAAATGATAATACCAATTAATCAAATAACACAAGAACTAAGAAAACAAAGGATCAATAAAAGGTGTTAAATAAAGCAAGATCAAATTGCTTTGTATTCAAAATATTGATATACCTTAGAGAGATCCATACTGATCGAAATTAAACGAGAGGAGAGAGAGGAGCAGAGATCGATATAAATCTTTTGGTTGGAGTGTGGTGAGAGGGAGAAACAGCAACTTATTTATAAGCTGTGGAGGGCATTTAGGTAAAATGTAGATACACGTAAAGACCTCATCATGTAAATATATTTTTGGTATATGTTCATTCAAACGAAATTATATTTCTCAATAATTGATGATACTGTTCAAATGGATAAGATTTTGTACAAATAATAGTTGTCAGCTAATAATAAAACTACAGCACACTAATATATAGCATTTTACATTCTATTTCCTGATTAAAAAAAGATAGATAGTATGTGCAGGGTGGACCTAGTTTATAAGTTACATGTTCATCGTTTATGTTCATTTGAATTCAAGAATTTTTGCTCAGATGATATATGTATTAAGAAATCTACTAAATTTTTATAAATTTGATTGTAAACCCATTTATAATTATATACTAACCTGATGTCACTAAGAAAATCTAAAAACTTTAATTCTGAATTCGTACGTGAACTAGACGAATACCCAAAAAAAAAAAAAAAAAAAAAAAAAAAAAAAAAAAAAAAAAAAAAAAAAAGAAAGAAGAAACTTAGTCAATTTTGGCGACCAGAATCATTATCTAGTTGACTATTAATGTGTTTAGCTACTATTTTGATGATGGTAATTTCTTTAGGAGCTTCTAGCTAGCTAGGTTAAAACCTTATACTCTTGTCACATTGTACACTTCTACGGTTCTACATATTCATTTCTTTTGTAATGTACTGTGTATATATGTATTCTTCTAGAATATGTAGTGTATTTTAATTGAGAATGAAGAGAATCTGATTGGAAAATATTGGATAAAATTTAATTTTTATTGGAGACTTAGAGCCTGTTTGGCTTAGCTGATTGAAATTAGTTGATAAGTATTAAGTGTTGAAAAGTAATTTTATGTGCTAAAGGTTATTTTATAAATAAGTTGTAACGTGTTTAGATATACGTGTTGAAACTTATAAAAGAAGTTAAAATATTTGGTAAAAAACGTTGATAAGCACTTTTATGTTAAAATGATAGAGTTGTGTTTGTACTAATAAGAAGCTAATTATTGCAAGATTTTAAATTCCAAAATTGATTTAAATACACACTATTTTGTGTGTCAATTTAGTTTTAATTCTAAATTGATTGGACCAGAATGTTTTCAACAAGTATAAATTAATTTGAGATAAATGTATATGTAATAATTAATATTTGATTAAGGTTGTACGTAAAAAAAAAAGCTTAGAGAGTGTAAAAAGAATTCGTATAGAAAAACAACACATTTCTCTATTATTTGTGAGAATCCATAAGCACTTTTGGTGTTTGTCAAATGCGTAAAAAAAGCTAAAAAGTATTTATAAATTAATTTGACCAACTTACAAATTTAGCTAAATGCCGTCACATATTGTTCATTTTCTGTTACCTTTTAACACCGATTTGTAGATGTATTTAAAATGTCACTCTGCCAATTCTTGTTCGGATACTTATTGAAATTTTTTAGAAAATGTTTAAATGGAAAATAAAAATGCGTACGAGAAAAATTATTTTTGAAATATATTTTCATATTTTAATTGCTGTCACTTTCTTCTAGAGAAGTAAACATACTCGAGTTTTACGACTTTAACTCGAATTCAAAATTTCTCTTGTTATTCCTTTCCGAATGAGAATAAATCTCTATAGCATTTTGTAAAATTCAGTTGTTCAGCCAGAGAAAATTTGACGTACAACAGCACAAACTCAAATTAATCGAATCAATAATTAGTTTACATATTGAATTGGTTACTAAAAGGAATAAAAAAAAATCGATTTACGGTTGGCTGTTTTAAAAATTCATTGTAGTTTCATATTGGGCTTCAAGGACATTATTTATCCAACAAAAAAGGAATTTTATGGGTATTTTTAAGGAATCTTTGAACTTTTTAGTATCCGTAAATAAGTCATAATATAGAGGTATTTAGTGTAGTTAATTCTTTTTTTTTTTTTTAATTATCAATTATTGAAGCGTCCATAACATAGGAGTAGGACTAATAATGGGAAAGAAACCCACCGAGAACCTTATCCTTGTGTCGGAGAAAATATTTGAATGTGTTATAAAATAATAAAAAAAGAATTAACTCAAACCCTATCATTTAAACTAAAAATTAGCCCGTGAATATATAATATATATACATAATTTATGTATTATATGTGTATAACTATATATAATCAGTATATAATTATGTATAATCAATGTATAATCTATGTATATGGCCAACTATTTGTGTAAAATTCCCTTTATTCGGATTGCCCTTTCTTGTTTTAAGTCTTTAGAATTAAATTGAAATTTCACTGATTCAAATTACCAAAAGGGCGTCCCAAACCCACTACTTTTCGACTTTATTTGGCAGTACTGTTTAGCTCTTCCCAATACTATCATTAGGGGTTGTTTGATTTGAGGGATAAAATGATTTTTTACGGTATAAATTTTAGAATTAAGCTCCTTTTGGGTTTGATGGAAGGTATTAGCTAAAACAGGATATAATCTCGATTTTAATCCCATAGTTACGAGATATTCTGATTTTGAACTAACGAGATGAGATGAATGGTCTCATATTTTTTACCTTGTGAAAGAGGTTTGGGTTTAAGGTCATTTGTCTTCTCTGCTTTATCCTTGGACATAATTATTAGAACTAAAAGAAAAGAGAGACAAAAAGAAAAAGTTTTTTTTTTCCCTTAACCAAAAAAATAAAATGTTATAGCTTTATTTTGCAAATTTTTTAAACTTGACTACTTGTAGAAAGTCAGAAATCTTAACAAATTAAGGAATTAGATAATGCAAGATTGTTAATTAGCTAGGTTTTAATCATGACCTAAAACAAGTTTTGAATCCCATTACCATTGTATTTAAAGCTTATTCTATATCAAAGGGTTCAAAAACTTAATCATATATATAAATAAATAATTTACTATATTTATACAATAGTATAATTTTTTAACGAATAAAATCTGATCCCTCCGAGAGGCGAGTATTTGACTCAAAAGATGTTAGACTCTTTTTGGACAAATCAATCAAAGATGAAGGGGTAAATCGTAGTCAAACTTAATTGATTCCAGACCAAGAGATTTCATAATAATAAATCTGTAGGGGATGGCGAAAATATCGAGAATCCCATTAAGATTCAATATTGCCTTCTTCATCAGTCCCTGAGGAAAGAATATTACAATTGCTTTTTTTGTACAAGATACAAGAATGGAGTTGTATTCTTATTTTTCTTCTGTGGGAAAAAATGGANCCCTCAGCGTGACTTAACACGCTCGGGCCAGCGGTGCGTTCTAGTCGTGATTCCAGGCGTTGCTCTTTTCGATTTGTTGGATATTGTGAAGGAGAAATGAAGTGAACACTATTGACTTTCATTACCCGATTGCTAAAATGGGGGTTGTGGGCAGCCTAGTCGGGGTGGTCAGATTTTGACCAATACAATTAATCCCTCCGTCTGTCGGGCCGTCCTTTGTCGGGCTCGACGGACGGATCATGTTTGCAGCGTAGTCGAGAGGAATCTGACCTCAACTTTCTGTTCCTTAGTCGCATTTTGTGGACTTTTTGGCGGAGTGGAGGTGTTGTTTCGATACTCGTGGACCATTGCGATGGTTTTGGAATCGAAACGCTGGTTGGCAATGAAGCGTTAGTTCGTGGATGCCACCATTATGACACACGTTCCTGGAAAACTGAAACATATCGTGTCCTTTCAGATTCAAATGGTGACTCTTGGGTTTAGTACTCGGGGAATTTATGTCTCTTATAAATATGGGAACTTGTCATTTGAGTAATTCACTTCATCATTCGTTTGAAAAAGTTCTTTAGATATCGTTTTTTCTGATACCCTGAATTCTTGCTTATCTTCTTGCTCACTGCAACCTTTAATCCTTTCTTCGTATCACTTCTTTCAGAGAGTTTTCTGCTAAAAATGGACAGTGATTCTTCTCGTGATAATCTTTCTGCCGTTGATCCAGTAACAGAGAGCTCTGTTCAGGCCACCGGAGAAGTGGATGCGGTAGAGGATGAGGAGATTCCCTCGGTAGATTAAATCCTACCTCGCTTAGGGAGGGACGCGACTGACTTCAGTTTCGGCGGTGGAGCAGAGCCGGAACACGTCGCTTCTGTTGTGAGGGAAAGGGGAATTGTAGAGTTGAGGAAACGGTGGGGAATCCCCAGCTTCGTCGAGATTCAGCCGACGGAGGAGGACAACAGAATTCACTTCGACCGCCCCGGATATTGTGTGTTCTACGCCTACCCTTTCATTGTAGGGTACTCACTTCCTCTCCCCATGTTGGTGGTAGATTTCTGCCGCTACTACGAGGTGTGCCCTGCTCAGCTTTCTCCTTATTTGTACAAGTTGTTTCTCATGCTGCTCAAATATGCGTAACTTGCCGGTCATGAGGTCACTTTGGGCCATATGCTTAGCATTTTTGCTCCACAAGTGATTCGAGGTACGATGATTCATGCGCATTGTAGACACGTGATTTTTGACCCTCCCCGAGAATTTTCACATTTTTAGCGTGAATATTTTAATTTAGGTCCAATATAGCTATTTGGACTATTTTACTTTATTTCGTCGCAAAAGAGAAAATTACAAAAAATATATATATAAATTTTAGTTTATGTATTTCTCATAAACTTGAAAAAATACAAAAAAATTGTACTTTATTTTTGTACTTTATATAATTTCGAAAATTACCAAAAAATATAGTTCTATTAATGTTTTGTAGTCATTTTAATTTTGAAAAAATACAAAAAATATTACTTAATATTTTATCTNTTGGACTATTTTACTTTATTTCGTCGCAAAAGAGAAAATTACAAAAAATATATATATAAATTTTAGTTTATGTATTTCTCATAAACTTGAAAAAATACAAAAAATTGTACCTTACTTTTGTACTTTATATAATTTCGAAAATTACAAAAAAATATAGTTCTATTAATGTTTTGTAGTCATTTCAATTTTGAAAAAATATAAAAAATATTACTTTATATTTTATTTTATTTTTATATAAAAACGAAAATTACAAAAAAAAATAGTTTTATTAATATTTTGTAGTTATT